CTCTCCTCTCCTCTCCTCTTCCACTTGCTCACCTCCTGATCCTTTCTGTCCCTTTCTCTCTTCTCTCTACCATCAACACTGACCGTTGCCTTTTCTCCCACCTGTGCTGACCATAAATTTTCTGAACAGAATGAACAGGTGTCAGAGGTTTCACAAAAAGGACTCAGTTTGCTGCAGCCTCTGAACTTTGAACTCAATCCTGGAGGGAAAAGCATGTCTTGTGCCAAAGCTACAGGGGGAGTATTACAAGCAACAATATTAAATATGACACCTATCTGTCCATCAAATGGTCTTTCTAATCTAAAAAAAAAAACAAAACAAACAAACAAAAAACACAAACCCAACCAAAAACCAAAGAGTCAAAGTGATTCCCATTAGGTCAGTCCTGACTCACGGCCTCCCCACACGTGTTAGAACCTCACTCAGAAGAGTTGTTTGTCTGTGAGCCTTGGTAGTAGATCATCAAGGACTCCTCAGATGGAAATAATTGATGGATTGAATAAAAACTCCTGCCTTGCCTAGGCCATTTTCTTCGACCTATCTCAGGGTCCCCCAGTAGCTGCTATCTGAGGGCAGTATCTGCTTGTCCAGTAGAAGCAGGCAGGAGATGAGAGTAGAAGTTCTGCTATCTAATCCTCTCTGGTTGGTGTCCATCCCCACTGTGGGTACAAGGGAGAGGGAGTCTGATTGGGCAACTCGAAGATCTAGGAGTCAGGCAAACCTGGGTTCTCACCCTACAGGCATCTCTATCTTGTTGTGTGAACTTGGACAAGCCTTTTCATCTCTACGTGCTGAGTTTCTTCCCTCTGTGGCAGGAAGGTACAGACTGTAATCCTAGGTGATGGGGCTCCTTGGATGTTTCTGGCACATGGAGGGTATAACAGTGCTTGGGGTGACAGAATAGGAACTGAGGTCAGGTTATGGGGAGGCACGGAGGAGCCCCACGGGTGGTGGGTGTGGGGTCAGAACTCCCTCTGAAGCACCATAACTTAAAGGATCTTTACTTTCAGAGCTGACAGTAGAGAGAATGTCATCGCTCCTGACCCTGGCACTGTTGGTGGCTGGGCTCTGCCCTGTTGTCTTGTGTTCAAACAGCACACTCACTCAGGAGAATCAAGTCAGTGACAACGAGACCCACCTGAACCTGACCCTGGCCTTCAACAACGCCGACTTCACCTTCAGCCTCTACAAGCAGTTGACTTTAAAGAAACCCAGCAACAACATCGTCTTCTCACCATTGAGTGTCTCTACAGCCTTGGCTTTTGTGGCTCTGGGGGCCAGAAACACGACCCTGAGAGAGATTCTCCAAGGCCTGAAGTTCAACCTCAGAGAGACCTCTGAGACTCAAATCCACCAGAGCTTCCAGCACCTTCTGAACACCTTCAACCACACAGGTGACAAGATGAACCTGAGTCTGGGCAATGCCTTGTTCCTAGAAGAGAGCCTGATGCTGCTGGAGAAGTTCAAGGAGGACGCCCAGGAGCTGTACAGAGCTGACATCATCCCTGTCAACTTCCACAACACCTCTGCTGCTGTGAGACTCATCAATGACTACGTGGACCACAAAACCCATGGGGAAATCATGGACTTCATCAGTGGCCTTGACCCTGACACTCTCATGATCCTGGTAAACTACTTCTTCTTTAAAGGTGAGTGTGGATTGGGTTTCCCAGGGAAAAAACAACTTAGTTGTGGCACCAAAGGGCCATTTCTCTACCAGCGGCAGGAAGGGAAAGCCACCGAGTTGTGTGTGGGCTGGGCCCATAGCACAGTCACGTTCATGGCACTGCTCTCTGTTCAGGGACTTTTTCAGACATGAGTCTGTCAGTTATTCTTGAAAGTGTTTGTTTTAGGACCAGGTGTAGCTGAGTGTTATCTCATCGATCCTGACTCAGGTTAACATTGTGTATGTGGGACAGATTGCTTCACAGTATATTCAAGCACTGACCTCCAGAAATAGATTATCAGGCTTTTTTTCCAGTGCACATCTGGATTATTTCAAATTACTGACGTTTTAAGTAGGACTTGACCCTTAACCTCTATTACCACTCGGGACTCTATCCAAAGACTTCTCTTCATGGACTTCCAGGTGGCCAAGTATACCTTACTCTCTTGCTTCTGAGCTCAGCATCCATTGGATTTTGCAAGCTGTAGAAAACACTGGAGGAAACTGCCCACCTTGGAGCCACTCGTGCATTTGAACCATCAGCAGCCTCGGGTTTAGCATCACAACGCCCTACTGACTTTGCCACGAGAGCCTCCTGCTACACAATTCACTCCCTCCTGCCCTCACTCATTGCTACTAAGTCAGAACTAACTCACAGCTAAACCACAATTGGGCTTCTAAGATTGCAATTTGGACAGAGGGTGATTGTCCATCCTTTTCCCCTGGAGCTGCTAGTGAATTAAACTACTGCAGATGCATAGCCTTTCGTTTAGCAGGTCCTTTCTTTACATTTAGATCCAACCTAAGTAGTTGGTTTTGGAGGCTGTAGAGATGAGAGGGGCTGTGTAGGACCGAGAAGGGCTGCAATCTTGGACTTAGAAAGCCTGAGGGTAGAGCAGGACCAAGTGAGAAGTTGAAGTAGAAAAAGCATGGCCACCCAGGAGCTGACTCTACTTGCATTAGATTCTACCTAGAGGAGAAGGGAAAAAACTAGGAAACTCACATTTACATGTTTGGAAACCTATGACTACTTTGTTCAATTTCAGCTCTGAAGGGTCAGTGATGGGGTCCCTATTTGTTAAGTAGGGAAATAAAGTCCTGGAAAACAGAGGGACTTATCCCAGGATACAGCTAGTGCATGGTAGAGATTCAAACTTGACATAGACCATTCCCAAATTCTTTTTTCATCTTCTTTTTAGTTTGGGAAGAAATTGTACTAAATCCAAAGACTAGAGCAGAAACCTAAATCTAAAGCCCAGATTGGCATAGTTTCTGGAAAAGGTGAGATCATAATTAGGCTAGATGTTAACATCACATTGATGTCCAAAGCAGATCATTTTTATGACCTTTACAAAATGTCACTATCATTATTAGATTTAGAATCTCAGCCATGACTGTATCTTACACAGGAATTGCAGTTTTGTTTTGTTGGTGTGTGTCAAGTCAGCTGTGACTCAGAGCATGCCTATGAACAACAGATCTGAATTTGACCTTAATCTGTGCCACCCTCACCGTCTCCGACACACTGGAGCCCACTGGTACGGTCACTGTGCCAGTCCACCTCCTTCAGGATATTCCTCCCCTACACTGACCCTCCACTTCACCAAGCGTGATGTCCTCCTTCAAGGGCTAGTCCCTCTGCACAATTTGACCAAAGTATTTGAGATGAATCTCTACCATTCTTGCCTCCAAGAAGTACCATGTTAGCACTCTCTTCAAAACATGCTTGTTTGTTCCTTGGAAGCCCATAGGATATTCAGTACTTTTTTCCAACACCATATCTCAAAAGCATTGATCCATGTATTATCCTCAGTCATTGTCCAACTTTCAGACATATAGGAAGTAATGAAAAAGACCATGGCCTTTATCAGGTGTACCTTAGTCCTTAAACTGATGTTCTTGTTCTTCAGCCCTTTGGAGAGGTCCTAAACAGCAGATTTTTTCCCAATGTAATATATCGTTGGATTTCTTGATTGGTGCAATAAAAAATAATGATTCAAAAGATTGTAGAAGTTATCAAACAATATAATTAATATTATATGCAAACAAAATCTTATTCAAGATTATTAAAATATTGTTAAAACAGTACATTAAAGAGAACTGCCAGAAATTCAGGTTGGATTGAGAAGAGATCATGGCACCAGAGATATCACTGCTGATGTCAGATGTATCGTGTCTGAAAGCACAGAATACCAGAAGGATGTCTATCTGTCTTTTATTGACTATGCAGAGACATTTGATAAATTATGGCTAACATTGAGGAGAAAGGGAATACTAGAACACTTAATTATGCTCATGCAAAATTTATACCTAGGCTAAGAAGCTATTGTCTGAACAGAGTAAGGAAGCACTAGATGGTTTAAAATTTATAAAAGATATATGTTAGGGCTATATCCTTTCTCCACCATACCTATTCAATCAGTGCATGCAACAAGTCACAAAGTCCCTCAAAGTTGGGAGGATGTGAAATGCTTACTGCAGAAGATCAAGGACAACAGCCTTCAATATAGATTGCATCTCAACATCAAAAAAACAAAAATCTTCCCTGGTTCAATAGACAAGATTACAATAGAAGGACAAAAGACGGAAATTCTCTTTGAGTCAAAAGAATGAGTTGTATCATATACCATCAGATTGACTTCCACTCATGGCAACCCAGTGAATGACTGGCCCAAACCTGGCCCTATTCTCGGCTCACTTCACAATCTCTCTGCCATGATGGAGCCCACTGCTCAGTCACTGTCAGTCTACCTTAGTGAGGGTCTTCTTCCATTCTCAGACCTGCTGCTACCTTTCCCAGTGTGATGTCTTTTTGTAAGGACTGGCCCCTTACTAAAAACAAGAGATAACGTTTTACCATCCATGCCTGCAGAATTCATCAGGACCTAGGAGCCAGGGGCCCATCCCAAAATCTAAACAAAATTTGTTTCCCTAGGAAACAGTCAGAGTTCCATATCACACCTTGCTATTCATATGTCTGACAGTTTCTATGGTTTTCTATCATAACACTTATCTGTCAGGTCCTTGTACAGGGAGAACTGAAGGCCCAATCAGCCCCAGAAGCCAGCTGGGGCCAGAGAAGGTGGTATTATGCAATGATATTCATTTGCCTGATTGTTGGCCTGGTTTTCAGTTGGAGGTATTAACACCTAACTGTCAGTCTATTGTACTGAAAGAGTTATTTGCATGCTGCTACTTATTTTATCACTTGAGTGTATATATGCTTGTTCATTGTTTACACTTATTAGTATAGTGACTTGTCTGTCAGTTTGCTGTACTGGAGTACCTGATTCAGGCCACGGTCTTTTCAACCACTTGCTTTGCATGTGAGAGCAGGGCAATGAAAAAGGATGACTAAAGAAGAATTGATGCCTTTGAGTTGTGATGTTGGAGAAAGTACTGACTATCCCCTGGACTGCTGATGAACAGACACGTCTTAGAGAACGGGCAGCCAGAGTGCTCCTTGGTGAAGTTCTGCCTCACATACTTTGGGCATGTTGTTAGGAGTGGTTATTCCTTGGAAAGGAACATCATATTGGAAAGGTGGTGGGTCAATGGAGGAGAGGAAGATTCCCAACCACATGGCGTGACACATGTTGACTCCAGTAATGGATTTAAGTATGTCAAAGTTGATGAGGGTGGCCTAGGATGGGATAGGGTTTAGATTTACTGTTCATAGGCTGTTCCTGTTCATAGGCTGTTTATAGTTGTATTCAATTCAATTCAATTCAACTGCACCTAAGAACAATGGTAACAGCAACAACAGCCATCTTTTTATCTTGAGAAGGAATTGTATTGACACAGTGACTAGAACAATGAGATCAAACACAGCAATGAACACACCACTGTTTCTGTTATGAGTCACAAACAGCAATAAAACACATGCAGCTCCATTGACCATTTTAGGCTTGGATAATAGCCTCCTGGCTGCAGTATTTTCCAAGTCAAGCAATTCTATTTTTACAAGAACTCTGGGGTGACTAAAAATACTTCCAAAGAGTTCTTTGTTCAATGAAGACAGGCATACAAGGGTTAGTGGCATGGTCATCTTCCAGTCACCCACTTCTCTGCTTGCTCCCCCAATCTTAGCCAAATGGAAGAAACCCTTTGACTCTCGAAACACGTACAACTCCACGTTCCACGTGAGCAACGCGAAGTCTGTGGATGTGCCCATGATGAAAATTTTGGACCTGTTTATACCTTACTTCCGGGATGAGCAGCTCTCCTGCACAGTGGTGGAACTGAAATACACTGGTAACAGCAGCGCCCTCTTAATCCTCCCAGATGAGGGCAAAATGGAAGAAGTGGAGGCCAGGTTATGCCCAGAGACACTGAGAAGGTGGAAAGAGTCAATCAAGGAAACGTGAGTATCCCTTGGGCCCTGAACTGTGTGTGTATGAATTTTCCACTTTCCTTCACCACGGCTTCCATTTTTCTTCACTTTGCCCCAGATGTAGTCACACCATCTTCAGACACTTGAGATGTTATAGAATCTTTCCATACCTATACCAAAGCACAGGTCTGCAGGGATAAGAGAACCTCTATAGTGAATGAGGTTATAGAAAGGTTCTGGGTATGTGATTAATTTTGAGTTACGGCCTCTACTACTTTGGGCCCGAGTTTCTCTCTATAAGGTGACGGCATTGGATTCTGCCTGGGCTGAGGCTTCCTGTGACTCTAACATGCCCTATTCCTGAGGAATCCTCACCACAACTCCTGTCACTCACATGTGGTTTCTCTTTTTGTGCTCTTGAAGGTGGAGGGTAACAGAAGGAATTGTGATAAATTGAGATGGGACGATGTTTGAGAATCAGCTTGAGCAGGCTAAAGATTAAACACTTTCAGTCAGTCATTTACTCACAAAATGTTAAGTCAGCACCTATAATTTGTCAGGCATTATTTTAGACTCTGGGAATATATTTACGACTAGCATCGCTGCCTTCATAAAGCTTACATTTTAATCCAGTGGGTAGAAATAATAAATATAAAAAAGACATATGGGAGAAAGCAAAAAGTGTCATAGGGAGAAAAGCAAGACAGATCAGAAGGAACAGGAAAACTTGCACAGAAAGTTGTTTGTCACTGTAAATGAGGTGATTCTCCAGGAAATGTTTGAGCCACCACCACATGCCAGGGATGAGCAGAGAAGTTATGCAGCTGCTGCCTGGGAGGGTGCTGTTCAAAAGGGAATAGCCAGACAGAGCCACTAAAGCCAGAACGAGACTGGAATGCTTCACCATGAAGAGGACCGTGTGCCTGGAACAGAGTGAGGAGGAGAATTAGGAGATACGGGGAACAGATCATCTGGGAGGCTGGGCTCTGTGAGGAGGAATGTGGCATCAGGATTGGAGGAAGATTCATCAACAACCTGCATTATGCAGATGACACGACCTTACTTGCTGTAACTGAGGAGGACCTGAAGGTCTTGCTGCAGTCGATCAAGGACTTAGGCCTTAAATATGAATTGAAGCTAAACATTAAGAAAACAATGATTCTCACCACGGGGCCAACTGGCAATATCATGATAGATGGTGAAGAGACTGAGATTGTTAACAGCTTTAGTTTGTCTGGCTCCATAATCAACACTTCAAGTACCAGCAGCCAGGAAGTCAGAAGACAAATCACATCAGGAAAGTCTACTGTCAGGGACATCTCCAGAGTACTGAGGAACAACGATGTCAGTCTGGAGACTAAGATGTGGTTGATCCAGGCCATGGTCTTTGCAATTATATATGATGCATCAGAAATCTGGACAATGACTAGGGATAATAGAAGGAGAATTGATGCCTTTGAGCTGTGGTGCTGGAGAAGAATACTGAATATACCATGGACTGCTAAGAGAACAAACAGATTTTTTCTGGACAGGGTGAAAACAAACTGCTCCTTAGAGAAGCTTCTGAAGCTCTGACATACTTCAGGCATATTGCAAGGAGAGACCATTCTGTGAAGAGGGGCATTATGCTTGGGAGAGTGGAAGGATAGGCCAGGAGGTTAAGACTCTCAATGAGATGGATTGACTTAGTGACTGGAGTAATAGTGTGTCAAAGACAGTAAGGTTGGCTCAGTGTAGAGCAGGCTTCAGAGCTGTTGTACATAGGGTCGCTATGGGTCGTAGGTGACTCAATGACGCATAACACCACCACCAACAACAACTGGTGCAAGGTGTGAGGCAGGTCATAAAGAGAATGTGTGCTTGATTCTTGAGTGAAGCAGTCTTTGGAGGGCTCTGAGCCTAGGAGTGCCATGATCTGAATCCTGAGTTAATGGGTTACCCTAGTTTAGTGAAGAACACACCGTAGAGGCAGGAGTGGACCCAAAACGCACCTGGGATCCTGGTGCTGTCACTTGGCCCAGAGCGGGTGCCTGAGACCTCCTCACTGAGGAGGGAGGGATGTCGAGTTTAGACAAATCTGAAGAGAAATCCACCTGACAGAGAATTCAGGGCACCCAAATCAAGGAGACAGGAAAGGCAGAACAGTAATCCAGGGACTAGACTATGGAATGGGAGATAGTTTCCCTCTGGGGGCTCCAAGGGCAAATATTTATTTCATGCCTCCCTCTTAAGTGTCTTGTGTTCGCTCTTCCTGCAATCGCAGGAGTTCCTTGGCCGTAGACATCCCATCAGTTTCTGTTTCCATCTTTTCCTGTCTTTCCTGAGTGTCACCTATGTCTTTTTATCTCTAACGGTCCCTTTCTTGACATAAGAACGAGTCACTAGATGTAGGTTCCATCTGAATCCCATTTGATGTCACTTAACTTGGTCAGATTTCAAAGGCCCAGTTCTCAAATAATATCCAGTTCACAGACACCAAGTTGACAACTTCAGCATGTCTTGTGGGATAGAATTCAACCTTCAGTCAGCACTTGGAGGTCTAAATGGATACTTCATGGGTTAAGAAGTACATGTGCAGGAGGAGATCAAGAAATAAGGGTAAAAATGACACAGTTCCATTGAGAAACAGGTGGTTGAGAGAGAAAGCCAGCATGACCAGGAAGTGGGCACCAAATCAGTCAGAAGCTGACCTTTTACTTTTCTCATGTTCTAGTCTCATAGACGAGCTTCATCTGCCCAAGTTCTCCATCTCCAGTCACTATAATCTGGAAGAGATTCTTCCCCAGATGGGTATAAAGGAAGTCTTCACTTCCCTGGCTGACCTCTCAGGAATCACAGGAGCCAAGAACGTGATGATTTCCCAGGTAAATCTTTAAACACTGTATGACTCACCTTCTATGCTTGAACTCGAATGATAAAGGCCGAGTGGACAATTGGAAAATAGTGGAGACTTAACAGTTACAGTAAGTATCTGCGTTCCTCTTTATTCAATGGCCTGGTCTGTTTTCCACCCCTTAACTAAAACCAGGTCATGTGTGTTAACCAACTCCAACTACTGTATTTGGAGGCAAAGCCCGGCTCCCCCACCACATAGTGGGACACAAAGCCTGTCCTGGGAAGAGCTGGGCTTGGACTCCACCACTCACAGCACTGTTACTCTCTGTGGACAAGTCATTCAAGTTCTCTACTCCTCATGAAGTTCATCTGTAAAACTGAGTGATACTTCTTAGCTGATGTGCAGCTCTTGACATGGCAGCTAATAGACAACAATGCAATGGTATATGACGCTGGAGGAGTCTTTGAGGCATAGTATTAAAACATTTGTCTGCTCACCAAAAGGTCAACGGTTCAATCTCACCAGCTGCTCCATGGGATAAAGGGAGCAGTCTAATTCCATATTTACACAAAGGCAACCCCTATGGCAGTTCTATACTTTCTTACAGGGTTGCTATGAATTGGAATCAACTCAATGGCCATGGGGGGTTTGGATTATTTGAAGGGTGCAAAGTAAGTTCAGAGCACCAGTGGGGACATGAGATGCCCAGAAGACATGACTAAGGGGAGATCAGTCAAAAGAGAGGGGCCACTGGTCATACCCCTTACCTACTCTGTGCCATGTGCTTGCTCCGTGGAGTGCAGTAAGTTCTGCACCCACCTTCCACAAGGGAAGAATAGACGGATGGCATGTATGTGTGTGTGTGAGTGTGTGTGTGTGTGTGTGAGAGAGAGAGAGAGAGAGAGAGAGAAAGGAAAAAGGAAGAGGAGGAGGAGAAGAAGAAGGAAAACGAGAAGGAGGAGAAGCAGAAGAAGAATCTGCCGCTGCCACCACCTATGGTGGGTCAGAACTCAAAGCTACTTATTAAAAGTTCTTGTGAATTCCACATGGTTAAGCTGGAGAACGAGAGCCCCAGAAAGTAGTGCTGGTCCATTGGAGAGGAAGTGTGTGCGTCTCTGCTCACCCCAGTGGGGCTGAAGGGGAGTTGCTACTCAAAGGCCACCAGAGTGGGCGTTTGGGAGTCATCACGCATGATGGACTCGGGATTCAGATCATGCTGCCTCCACTCTTTGCCTGCACAACCTGGAAACACACTACAGTGCTGAGCCTCGGCTGGTACTTCTGTGCAAAGGGATTATGCAAACTACTTAATAGCACTAGTGAGAAGAAGCTTGTCTTACAAGGAGCACACCCTTCAGAGGCCAGTAGTAGATACGATGGAGGAGTGTTAAATGTTCTCTCAGCTGCCTGAAGCCAGGATGACTGCTTCCTGCCAGGCCCTAGCGCTGCCCTTGCCCCTGCTCCTGGTATTAATGCTCTGCTGTCCCCACAGGTGGTGCACAAGGCTCTGATTGATGTCACGGAACAGGGCACAGAAGCAGGTGCTGCCACAGCCGTGAAGTCCATGAAATTAAGCCCTAAAGAAAGTAAATTAAACATTTTGCATTTCAATGTACCTTTCCTGTATATCATCATCTCTGAAGACAAAGGGACCATCTACTTCATGGGCAAAGTCTTCAACCCAGAAGAAGCTAAGACGGTCCTTAAGAGTGATGGAGCCCCACTCAGCAAGAATGAAACCAGCCAGCATTCTGTCTGATAGCAGTCTGTCATCTGTGTGGCCGAGCTTTGCCTGGCACTCTCCTTACCTGTCTGCACGTGCTGGGGACAGCTGTAATGGTTGTGTGACAGAGACTCGAAATTTTTCCTGACACAAACAGCAAGCTGCTTGTTCACTGCAGCGGCTATGAGTTCTCCCAGAAAAATAAAGAAATTTCCTACTGAGTCAGACTCTTTGTTGGTACTTTCTACTCTGGTCTTAACTCCATGCCCAAGTGGCTGCCTACGCCCAAAGGACCGCTCAGTTGAGATCCAAGCCAGCCTGGGGCACTTGTCTTTCTCTACTTGACAAAGCATACAGCACTGTTACAACAGCTGTTCAGTGGAGCTTCTCACCTGAGCTCTTGCTATCTGTGGAGCCATCTTCCTCTAAGTCTGTGCAAATGAAACACAATGTAATTTGTTGGGGGGAAAAAGAGGAGAGGAGTGAGTGGGGAGATAAGCACAGGATTTGAGACAAACCTTCATCTTTTACACTTTGGAAACGTAGCTAGGCAAGTTTATGCCTTGGAAAGGGACATCGTGCTTGGAAAAATGGAGGGTTAGTGAAGGCAAGGAAGGCCCCCAATGAGATGGATTGACTCCAGCAATCAGCTCTAGTGTCTTGGAGATGATGATGGTGGCACAGGAGGGAGCTGGGTTCAAGATGACTGTTTTTAGGGTCACTATGAGTCCTTGTCACCTCAACAGCATCTAACAACAACAAGCAGAAGTTGGACTTGCTTCCTCTTTAAAGAGGAGACAGTGAGTGTGAGAGTGTGACTCCCAGAGAGTGGTCAGAAAAATGAGGGGCTCCCTGCAGGTGACTCAGTATCCCCTGTTGTGGAGATGATATCTGAGAAGGGCAAGGGCCAAAGTCCTAGAAAAGGAGATAAGGAAAGAACACATCTAGAAACTTCTAAGTCCTGGAAACACAAATGAAAAATTGGGGACAGGGCTGGAATAGAGTCTTTGTGGCACAAAAAGTTTGCATTCAGTTAAAGATTTTGCTATTCTTGCCTTTGATGATAGAAGGGAAAGTTGCTTGCTGAACTGAAACTTGGACTAAAACTAGGACTTGCATTGGGTCATATTCTTTGTCTCCCTCACTCTCCAACTTATTTCCCTAATAAACACTATTCTTGGTTGTTGTTGTTGTTGTTGTTATGTGCCGTCGAGTCGTTTGCGACTCATAACGACCCTATGCACAACAGCCCTAAACCCTGCTCTATCCTGTGCCAATCTCACTGCCTCTGACACACCCATCCCGATTACCCCGGTCACTGAATCGATCCACCTCATAGAGAGTCTTCCCCTCCTGCGCTGTCCCTCCACTCTACCCAGCATGATGTCCCTCTCTAAAGACCTGTCTCTCCTTACAACATGTCCAAAGTATGTCAGATGAAGCCCCAGAATCCTTGCCTTCTTGGTACCACAAAATAAAAAAAAAAAAAAGTTTGCATTCAACTACTAACCTAAAAGTGGGCAGTTCAAACCCAGGCCATGGGAGAAAGGCCAGATGATCTGCTTCCTTAAGGATTAACACCAAACACCATTTGCACTCTGTCAGTTTCCACTCGTGGAGACTAACATTTATAGGAGATCTGTCCCCCAGAGCTGCTTTATGGAATCAGACTATAAAGCTCTCTCCCAGAGAGGCTTGTGGTTTGGAACTTTTGGCTGTTCGGTTTGCAGCCAAAGAGTTAATCTAATGATTTAACCCTGAGACATCAGAATTCCTTCCGTGAAGAACAAAACCCCAACCCCCACAATGGAGCAGTTCTACTCTGTAACACAGGAGTTTGCCATGAGTCAAATTGACTCTACAGCAATAAGTTTTCCATTTGTTTGGTTTTTGTGGTGGTGGTGTTTTTTTTCAATTGTGATGTAAATGCAAGTTTATAAATTAATTTGGTTTCTCATTCAACAGCTCATACATATTTTGGGTTTGTGGTGGAAGGCCGTGATACCACTAACATGTACAGGTATGTGGTTTGCTGGTTTACCCCACTAACATATACAGGTGTGTGGTATACCCATCAGTCTACATGAAGTCATGATAGTGTGAACTGCCAGGTCCAATCAAAGTTTAGGTTCCCCATTTCTGCAAGCATGCATATATCATGATGAGTTGCACATAGGGAAAATGGAAATATTTTAACATATTGACCAGAAAGTCATTCAAATGGTAGATTTTTAATTTTCAAGGATAGAGAATTTAGGAATTGGTCATTGAAGGCTATGAGGAAACAGATTCAAAAACAAGACAGTCGTGGGAGGTGGAAAAAAACACACACTAAGAAGATTCAGATACAGGAGATCTTGCTTTAGATATTTTCCTTTGTTGTATTTCATAGACATTTATTGCAACCTTGCACTAAGAAAATAACATTGGTGCCATTTCTCCAAATAACATAAAATAGCAAAAGAAAAAAAATTTAATATTAGCAAATAAATTTATTAATCACAAAAATAGGAGTTGATTTCTTATTTATCGTACAAGTATGAAAATTACAATTTTTAAAAGAAAAATTCTTTCATTGGTATACAATTCCCCCCACCCCCAAGTATACACCACTATGCAACCCTCATTCTGGACTCTTGTCATAACCATAATACCCAATCATATATCACTTTTAAACAGTTCTCTCCTTCATCTGTTTCAATGCAGTATACATAATTTATCCAATCTTTCTCAGTCTCACCCCAACCCTGATGTCAGTTCATTTTACAACAGTGGCACTATGCAATATTTGTTCTTTTGTGACTGAGATATTTCATTCAGCATAATGTCCTCTAGAGTCACCCATTTTGTATAATATTTCATGAATTCCTTGTTTTTCAAAGCAGCATAGTATTCCATGGTATGAATATATCACAGCTTCTCCATTCATTTGCTGATAGGCACTTAGGTTGTTTCCAACCCTTTGCTATTGTGAACAAATTTACCATAATAAACATGGGTGTGTATATATCTGCTTGGGTGGCAGTTATTCCCAGTAGTGGAATTGCTGGGTCAAATGGTATTTCTATTTGAAACTTTTTGAGAAACTGCCATACTACCTTCCATAGTGGTTGTATCATTTTACACTCCCACCAACAGTGAATAAGGGTTCCAGTTTCCCCACAATCTCGTCAGCATTTGATGATTGCTATTTGTTAAATTTTGCTATTCTTACTGGGGTGAGGTAATATCTCATAGTTGTTTTTATTTGCATCTCCCTTAGAGCTAGGGATGTTGAACATTTCTTCGTGTGCTTGTTGGCCATCTGAATGTCTTCTTTTATAAATTAAAGTTTACAAAGACTTGGGGTTTCCAGTCATTCATTGTTATACGTTTCTCTCTGCCAACGCCCTCCCCCCCAATTCACTCTTATCCTTGAAAAGAAAAACTCTTTCATTATTATGTAATCCCTCCCCCCAAGTCCACTCCACTATGTAGTCTTCATTCTCTACTTCTGTAATGACAATAATACCCAATCATATATCCCTTTTAAACAGTTCTCCCCCTTATCTCTTTCAATGCAGTACATATTATTCTTCCCCTCCTTTGCTGTCTTCCCTCAACTCTGATGTCAGTCCCATTTTACAGCAGTGGCACTATACAATATTTGTCCTTTTGTGACTGAGATATTTCACTCAGCATAATGTCCTCCAGGGTCATCCATTTTGCATAATATTTCATTAGTTCCTTGTTTTTCAATACTGCATAGTATTCCATTGTGTAAATATAACATAGCTTATCTATGCATTTGTTTATTGATGAGCACCTGGATTGTTTCCAGTTCTTTGCTATTGCAAACAAGGCCACAATAGACATCGGTGTGCATTAATCTGCATGGATGTCAGTTATGGTCTCTTCAGGGTATATTCCCAGTAGTGGAATTGCTGGGTCAAATGGTATTTCTATTTGAAACTTTTTGAGAAAGTGCCATACCGCCTTCCATAGTGGTTGCACCATGTTACACTCCCACCAACAGTGAATCAGGGTTCCAGTTTCTCCACAGCCTCGTCAACATGTGATGTTTGCTGTTCTGTTAAATTTTGCCATTCTTACTGGGGTGAGATGATAGCTCATAGTTGTTTTGATTTGCATTGCTCTTAGACATAGGGATTATGAACATTTCTTCATGTCTTGCTGAATGTCATCTTTGGTGAAGTGTCTGTTCATAACCTGTGCCCATTTTTCAACTAGGTTATTTATCTTTATCTTGTTGTGGTGCTCAAGTATTTTATAAATTTTAGATATAAGTTTCTTATCTGACATGTCATTGCCAAATATTTTTTTCCGGACTGTGGCTTCCCTTTTTACCCTGGAGAAGTTTTTGGATGTGCATAGGGATTTGAGTCTTAGAAGGTCGCATTTATCTATTTTATCCTCTCCTGGCTGTAGATTTTTCAGATGCTTGGAAGACTGTTTATGTTGTGGATTAGGACTTCTGGAGTTCTTTCAAGCTTTTCTTTAGTCCTAAATCCATGATCCACTTTGAATTGGTTTCTTTGTATGGAGTGAGGTATGGATCTCACTTGAGTTTTCTACAGATAATTTTCCAATTTTGCCAATACCATATGTTAACAAGACTGTCATTTCCCGATTTCACTGATTTCATCTCCTTGTCAAAAATCAGTTGACCGTAGGTAGATTGGCTGATTGCTGGGTTCTCAATTCTATTCCACTGACTTATGTGTCTGTCATTGTACAGTACCATGCTGTCTTAACCACCATGGCAGTGTGGTAAGATTTTAAATCAGGGAGTGAGATGCAGCCTGCCTTGTTTCTCTTTTTAAGGAGTGTTTTATCTATTTGGGGCCTCTTTCCATTTCAAATGAAACTAGAGATTGCCTTTTCCTTCTCATTGAAGAATGGGATTGGTATTTGTATTGGGGTTGCATTGAATGTGTAAATTACCTTTGGTAGTATTGTCATTTTCACAATATTAAGTCTTCCTATTTGTACGAAGAGGAATGTGGCATCAGGATTGGTGGAAGAATCGTCAACAA